ACTGTATTAAAATTATAAATCATATACTGTATCTTAAGACTTTAATTAGAAGCCAAAGTAATACAAGTCACTCTTGTTATAGTGAAGTCCTTGGGCTGTGAAAATTTCTTCACTATATCAAGAGATTCATTATATTGAAAGCTTCTCGATATAGTGAAGTCGATAATAAATTGTATAAATCTTCACTATATCAAGAGAAATAATAAATTTATATTCTCAAAAATCTAATTAACAAAGTGTTACACAAAGTAATATAGTTGTGTATGACAATTATTCTATTAATTTTATTGGTCAACACATATTACATGACCAAAATCTTCACTATAACGCGAGACATTTTGTTATATCTGGTTTAAAAAAAATCTTCATATATATTATATTGAGAGTTTACTAATTAACTTCATTATATCAAATGAAAATTTATTAATAATGATTTTGTTCTATAGAAATACTTCACTATAAACCAATCTTCACTATAACAAAAGTTCACTATAATGAGAGTGACTTGTATTTGTAAATTCTCAAAATAATGCTCAGAGATGTAATTCCGAATGTGGCCTAAATTAAGCTTGATTTAGGCCATTACTTGCTCGATATGTTTTTAAGATCAGCAATATAGCTTACCCGATTAATTTAATACGTACGCTAAGCTGACATGATTAATTCACCTTCGATGCAATATTTCTTTGAATGTAATTTATTTTTTTTCCAATGGAATAAATATCGGCCTTCACGTTAACATTTTGTCTTACTATATTTGATTGATTTATGTTTCTATGTTTTTTTCGCTTTTTGTGCGATGCCGAATTAAGATGGTTGTCAATTATAGATTTACTAGTATGATTGACATTTGCAAGCGATACAAAAAATTTTTTCGTTTGATTCGTAAAAACTATCTTTATAGTTATTGGAATTTACATCCTAAACTGTAAATGTCGCTTTTCCATCGTTAAAATTCAAATGGCAAAAATCAACGTTAAAATGATTTATTATTCGCTTAAAATGCTCCGCATAAATGTCGCGTAAATCACCTAAAATTGATAAAAATTAATCACATTTTATATGTCTATACGTGACCGCATATGTCTGAACACTCTAATTCAAACGACTTAGATGGCATTTTTAACACCGAAGAAGCCTTCATTCAATTTGCCCATATATTTTCGCAAATTCATCAAAGTGTTGATTTACAAAAGGCACCAGAACACTACGAAAAATTATGTGACCAACTGTTAGTTAAGATACATTGGCATATTACTTATTTCATTGGAACCATCTTTAACTAATTTCTCCATAGGCTAAAAAAAGCTCAAAATGAACCGATAAAAACTTTTCCCATCAATACGAGCCAATCTCGTCTCTGGGAACGTCTCTGGGAAGCTGAGCGAAATACTTGGAATTTAATTAAGCAACTGCATATGTAGGTTTACTCTTCTGTAAATTACACTCTACATTAGTAACAGTAACTCAATAAATATTTTATCTCAAAGACTTAGATCGACATATCCAACAGAAGTTAGTATACCTGAAAAGCTTTATCAAACGGATGGTGCACTTCAAAGCGAACTTCTTGCGACAAACTTGAACTTTGCCGAAGCTTGGGTATTTTAGATCTAGATCAATCGTGTTTCATATTTCACCTAGTTATAATGTGTTTAAATTAGTATAAAATTTTCATAGATAGTACGCCAGTGGTTGCAGGACACAGCACCTACATTTGTGCACGTTGAGACGAACCCTGAATATTGGTCATATACCAAAACACATATTATGTATAGCGTAAAGAAGTTAAGTCACAAATACCTAGACCCAGATGGTTCGTACAGAAACGGACAAGCCCTACATCCCCAAGATCAGGTGTGTTTTGTTTGTGCGTTCTTAATATATTATTTATGCTGCCGATTAATCTAATAATTATTCAATATTGAAAAAGATTCATGAGAATGAGTTGGCAAAATCAATATATGAATATTTACGACGAGGGCAACTAGACATTGCGTGTGAAATCAGTAAAAAAAATGGTCAATCTTGGCGAGCTGCTAGTATAAGTGGATATATTGTTTATGGGGAACAAACTGATGGTAATCTAGATTAACAATTCAAAAGATAGATGTTCAATTTTCAATAACTGTTTGTATTTGCGAATAATTTCATCAGATGGTGGAGACGTTGATTCAATTATTAAAAGCTCGGGTAATATCAATAGACATTTATGGCGTGCTACCTGTTATCAATATGCACAGGAGGTAATAATCATATTAAGTGTCGATTATATCTCATATTCCAATATATTTAAATATTAAAATGCGTAAATATTGATAATTTAATATTAGGCCGGATTTGATTTATATGATAGAGCAACTTATGCTGCTCTTTGTGGTGATGTAGATAATGTGAGTATATATTTGAATAATTTTTTTAGGAACATCATTTATTTATAATGAAGTTATAATTGTATATGAAATAATTTGTATGTAAAATTCATATTTAAGTTACTGAAATAGCTAATTTCAACGTATACTTATAAACCTTATCATTAGGTTTTTCCCGTGTGTAGATCTTGGGAGGATTATACATGGGCATATTTTAATGGACTAATTGAGTGTCGACTTGAGCAGGTGTGATGCTATAACAATTATTGTAACAGAACGATCTCAATTATATTTTGTTTTTAATAAACGTCTTTTTTTATGCTTTAAAGTATTTTAGCCAGCGAGGTCAGCTCGGGGAATTGGGAGATGTTGATTTGCCAGTTCCAACACAACTCTTGAGCCTCACTCCAGATGATATATTTCGTAAAGTTGAGGCTCGTCAAACGGACAGGTAATTTCTTAGTATTTGAACTTTTTTAGGTGATGTCAATACAGTTTATTTTAGTTTCATTTATAACTTTGCATATTTCGTTTGCATAATGCATTTAGGGATCCTCAAATGGCACTTTTTCATAAGATTCAAAAACTCTTTATTTTAAATAAACCAGATGAAATTGTTAAATGCTTAAAAGAAGAGTTGCTAGATAAACAGCTAAGTTATGATGAGTGCGTATGAGTTGATTAGGGGTAAGAATTTGGTTTAAGATCTAGAATCAATCCTCATTTTACTTTTTTTACTTTTACCAGCAGTGCTTCTTATTCTCATATTCTGCGCTTCGCAGCTCATTTTGTGCTATTTTTACGGGATCTTATTCCTCCAACTCCAGAGAAGGAATCTGATGATTTGATTAAGACTTACACCGAATTATTAATTGATTTCAAGCAGGTTTTATAGTCACTATAATTCGTTTCCATTAAAGTTATCATACAAGATTTACTAAATCTACATTTCATTCATCTAATATGCAGGATTCTATTATTGCTTTGTATGCTTCAAAATTACCTAGAGAAATGTCAATTGAAACCTACGCCTTGTTTTTGAAAAGTAATTAGCAAAAAATTAAACTTTTCGTTTTTCATCAATTAGTGTACTAACTTTTGGAAACTATTCATTTTTAGATATAACGGGAAGTTATGATGAACGGTTTTATTTTTATAATTTGGCTGAAAAGCATGGCCTAGATGTTACAGCAATAGCTAGAAGAACATCCGATTTGACATTAGAAGAATACTTGAAAGAGGTATGCACTTCATTATATGCAATTAGTAATAATGTGCAAAATTTATTCACAAACATCATAATAAACATAATAGGAGAGATATGCAAATGCCCTCTATCTAAGAATTGCATCTCTCAGTGATCCAGTTGATCCCAAGGATATAGTACTCATTCGTGGATTAGAATGGTTGACATTCAATAAAAACCAAGTAGTTGAAGCCATGGATCGTGCTAATGCTTTGTTTAGGCGATTTCTCGGTATAAATATTATGGATTAAATATAATGAATTGAATCCACCAATGTTTTCATTGAATTTATTTGGCTTGCATTAATTTCTAGCACGTGGGAAATTGAATGCGGTGAATACCCTTTTGAGTTCAATGGCTAACCCTAAATCGCCTTTAGCAAGTTATGATCTTGATAAAGAAGCAGATGAGCACGAAGAAACAGTTGTTTATGAGTATTCTTTTTACCGTAACATGTTTAATTTCTTCACAAAATATGAAGATTGGGTAAAGATATGGCAGGAAAAACCTCAGAGGTGTGTATGGACATTATTGTTATTTTAGAAATTTGCACATATGTCAACAGTATTTAATATAATTTTCCATAAGTCCGAAATCATTCCCTCGAGATATTAGTATTAGTGAATGGACTTTGCGAATTAAGGTAAGAATTTGATAATATTTAGATATTTGTTTAAATTAAACTCACGAATAAATTTTTCAGGAAACAACAGATGCTTTAGATCAGCTTTCTGATAAATTTCTGACCGCTTATATAACAAACCCTGAATTTGATGAAGATAAAATTATCACGGAAGAAGGTAAAAAAATATTTAAATCAATTATTAATCTAAATTATCTACTGATTATGCGATAACTTGTATTATATAGAGGAAAGAAGGATACAAGAATTGCAACGGGTATCTGATATTTATATTCCGGAAGTCATTCTTCGTTTACATCATGTATATTTTAAAACACGTGGTATTATTCCTGGGTTAGTAGTTTGGATTATGTCATGATTTGTCTTTGAATCTTTACTAATATAGAATCAATTGTAACTTATATTAGCAATTTGGACAAGAGCCTTCAACTAGCTGATCTAGTAGCCGATGAAAGTCGACATTTATATATGCATTTCCGACGTTCGAAGAAACTGCCCGTACTTTTAACGATGTTACGTGACTCTTACCTTGAGATCACGAGAGAAAATCCAGATGATATTATTGTTCATTGTTAAATAATTAAGATATATTTGTTTTTGTAAAATCACATTTTTCTCATATTATTGTAACTAAATACATCGATTTAGATAATAGCATTTTTTTTTCTTTCTCAATCTTAAAAAAAAGAAACAAATTGTAAAAATGTTCGGCAAATGAAACGTTAATTATGCGTTTACTTTTTTTTTGAAATTACGAGATTGTAAAATAATGGATGTGTGCGAAATATAACGCTATTATACACATTTTCACATTATTTTACATCAAAATCTCAAATGTCTGATCTAAAACTGTGATGCCATTTGTTGACAAGCCTTAAGATTATCTAAATACCATTGGCATAAATTGGTGTTATAATTATTTTGTTCCAAGCATTTAGACAAAGCCTTTGCATCTCGTTCACACGTTCTATCACCGGTGGACTGATCATCGAATTGAAAAGATCGATGCTGAGGTTGCTAAGATGAAAATAGAATAAATATCTTTGAGAAAGTAAATTCAAATGATAAGCATAGTTTGAAAATATTACTTCGTATTGGGTTTGAGGAGAATATTGCGATTGAGCATCCTGTACAGGAGGTTCAGCCGAACTACCACCCGAGAAAAGAGAAGAGATCCCATGACCCTATATAAAATGTTATTTTAGTAAAGATGCTTTTAAAACGAGCAATTATTTAGCTTATGAAGTTTGAATTAGCATACAATGTTATGCCCAATAGCGACACCAGCTGCGGTTGAAGCCACCTAAAAATCAAACCAAAAAAAAATTATTTATTTATAATATGTTAACTGACTCCATATTATGTTCAATAATACCTGTCCTAACAAACTAGGTTGTGGGTTCGAAGAAACCGCTGGAACATTGCTAGCTTGTGAGTTAGGTTGAATAGGTTTTGTTTGAGCGACAGGAACTGGTGCTGAACGAGGTGGTAATGTGGAAGCCTGACGTTTTTGTTGACTCGGTGCCCTAGCTGGAGCTGAACGACTTGATTTGCGAGGCATTTGTTAAGAACAGTGAAACAGATTTAGGGATTATCAAAAAAATTTAGCCGTTACTGATTTATCAAGTGTGATGATCTAAAAAAAAAAAAAAGATCTATGTTACCCGAATCGAATTAAGTTTAATTTTAGCTGCTATATATTTTCTATATTTACACATCTTTTAAATATAAATTAGTTATAATTTAACATCATATAAATTTATAGTATATACACTGTAATATATAATCACTTTATATACAATATATATTGTCAATTGTATAGGTAACTCACTTAATATTTCTTTTTTGGTTCAGCTCAATTAGTGCATTATGTATTACTTTCATAATATATATGTGTTATGAAAAACTGTAATACGCGCTAAGTCATTGGATATTAATTGATAATTATTAACACTTCGTTTCTTTTTCTTATTTACATGAAAGTTCTATTTGACTGGCAAGTATTATTACTAATTTTTATACTATTATTTTCGAAAAAATTAAGACCTTAATTTTCACAGCTCATATCTCAATGAATTTTGAAGCTATCTTGATTATTCAATAGTCAAAAGATCTCTAGCTTTCATTTGATTATTGAATTATCAAGATAGCTTCAAAATTCATCGATATACGAACTGGAAAGTTAAATTATTAGTTTTTTTAAAATGTCAATCTGCCTTATCTCTATTGTATAATAATTCTCGAGAAATTATAGTACAAGTATTAAAATTTTTTTGGCATCATGAGCATTAAGGCCATATAGAGTTAATTGGTTGATTATAAAATTTCAAAGTCTTTCTAGGTAGGATTTTAAAAAAATTTTAATATTTTCAGGGTATGATAGATACTTTTAAATTTCATGTTCTCAAATGAAAAGAAAATTTAAAATTTTTAGTTCTCAGAAATGAGAGCATTGAGAACATTAAATTTCGACACTGAACAGTACCGGCACCCAAAATAGCAGATATCATAGTTAATATTCCTCATAATTACAAGATCATAAATACCGTATTATGAATTTTTTTTATTATGAACAGAGTATTTCTTAAAATCGCACTTTTGCATGAATGATGATATTGTCAAAAAAATAACTATTTACCCAAGTTACTAAACAGCATTACATGGTTCTTGACCCGAAGTTTATAAAAACCAATTATTACTATTATTTATTAGAACGAGTTGTCTGAACGTGTCTATAATAAAGATCTAAATATTAGAATAGTTAATATTTATAACAAGGGTTCGGGTTCTTTTTTACTTTTTTTGCAAGTCGTTTTGAGAATCTAATAGGCGACGAAAGTTCATGATTTCTTGTATGTTGCTTTCTCACACGTTTTTTTGCCATCAATTCTACAGAATTTGAGTCTGTATTTAATTTAATTTGTTCATCTTGACTATATGTAATATCTTCAGATGTTACATTAAACATATTTAATGTAACATGTTTGTCTTGTCTTAGGGTATCTTCTAAAGAATTCTTGATGGTTTCACATGTAATATCAATATCTTCTGGAATGTTTACATCAGATACATGTGGCTTGGAGTTTTCAAAGCTCTCAAAAATAACACACGATTTAGGACTTTCATCTTGATTGGGCACAGTACACTCCGGGTGGCTTGTACTAAGTATAGTAGATATAGTAGAAGCATGTTGGTCTTTTTCAGATGGGAATAAGTTGACATTTGAGTCTTGTCCTTCAATTAGTTCCCGAGATTTGCCCTTATTTGGTGAATTTAAAAGTGCTTCGCACATGTCTCGCCAGGGACTCGTTGTTCTAGAAATGGGTAGGCAACTGTCATCCTTAGATGATTCAGAAGACGAATCAGAAGACAAGTCTAACAGAATTTCATGTCTCAGAGGACTGGAAATTTTCTATTATATAGAATAAATCCGATTACCAGCTAGTTGATATGCGGAAATAAAAAATGACCTATTTAAAAATGAACATGCACGTACCGGAGAAAACTTATGTTGAGTATTCAAGATCAAGCGAGAAATATTTGAATTCTGAGTATTTGATGTATTCATTATCCCTTTCTGATTAAAACAAGGTTAAGTTTAATTTTCGTACATCATAAAAAAGTGATCTTAAATAAATAAATAAAAAATATGTCACGTACAGATGATCCAACTCCGCTATCTATAGAATTATATCGCGATGTTCTATGCCTACTCTTCGAACTCTTGCGCTAATGCCCAACAAAAAAATGTCAATAGTCGTGAAATAATAAATTATTAATAAAATTGTATCGAATTTCATTATATACCACTACAGAATATTTAATTGGTGTACTTAATAGAACTGAGTGAGGTGTATTCAATAAAACTGAGCGAGCTGGTGCAGACGGCAATTTATTATTTGATGGTTGTGATGTTTCCACTGACTTTATAGGTAATGCTTTTATAGATTTGGCTGGCGAAAGTTGCAACGATTGTGATAGTTCTGTTTGCGCTGCTGTCGGAGATTGGATTCGTGTATTTATTATATTATCTTCCGAAAATAATATGTGGTTCACTTCTTTTAATTCTGTCAAACTTAAACACACTGCATCATCAATTCTTTCTTCTTCCATTGTCTGCGATATAGAAATTTTCAAAGCAGTCGCCATCTGATATTTGCAATTCAAAAACTTAAACGTATTTATATTTAAGGGCGCGTAAAATTCATACGCGTGTCGTCGACGTGAATCAACCAATCAGAAATCAAAAATTCGTATGTACGTAGTGTTACAAGCCATAAGGTTTTTATCGGCTGGCTTAGCCAGCCGATAAAAAATTCAGCTTACCGGCTGGCTAATGGCTAAAGCCATTTTTTTCTTAATCTTGTTCATCTTCGATGTTCGTTCATTTTCTCTTTAGAAATTTTTGGATTCTTGCTTTCTATTACCGTATGTCACCAACTATAATACCTCCTATCACAATACCCCATGAAAAAGACTCGAATACTATTCATGGGTTTGTGATTCGGAAAATTGAATAAGGCTCGGGTATTATTCTAGCTAGGTATATATATATTTAGTTTTGAAGTCCTTATTAAATAATATGAAGGTATATATATAAGTATCTCCTATTATAGTACTCTTCCCTGTGATTAGTACCGGGCGGATACTATTTAAGAAATTTTGATGGTTTATTGAATAGTACCCGGGGGCAGTGTTGTCATGGGACAGGGACACGGACAACGGAAAGTCCAGGACGGGACGTCCCGGACATGTCCGCCAAAATGTTAACGTCCCGGACAATTAAAAATTATAATAAGAGTATTCTTTTTAGCCAATGAGGTCGCTTGATAAACTTCGTGCTATAGGACACCATCACGGACATGGGACATTGTCCGGGACATGGGACTGTCCGCGTCCCTGAAATTTTAACGGGACAACGTCCGTGTACAACACTGCCCGGGGGTACTATAGTCAGTGGCGTACGATACTGTACCTAATTCCGCCTAACATTATTACTCCGGCCTAAATTATACTACTTAAAGTCATATGACTTTAAGCCACATTAGCCAGCCGATTATATTATATTGGCTGGCTTAGCCGGCTAAGCCGCCTTAGCCGCGGCTGCTCCAGCCGGCTTGTAACACTAGTTTTGAATTCTCCTGATCGTGTTACGTTACACCAAATCACAATTAATCATTGGTTAATTTGCTATCGATCATCACGTGATAGTAAAATTTTTCTGGCGATACTGGGGTAGTTGGTAATTAATTTTGAATCCAGACCAAAATGTTATTATGTCATATTTAAAATTGGTCCGGGTTCAAAAATAATTACCCGTATATCTAATAGTTCTTTGCGAATAATGCAGCACCTAATTAACGGTATTATATGACACTCTTATATTATTGAGATCGTTAAATAAAAACGAAAAATCGGATAATGCCGGTTTACTCCATGGCAGTTTTTTTATTTATCTGCTTATTAATCAAATATACCTAACCATAATACATTCGACTTCATATGAATTTCCAAGGATAGTATGAAAATAGCAGAAATCTATCTTACAAAGAAAAGAGTATTTAAAGAGAAGCCGTATTTAGAAAAGTAAGCCATATAAAAACCCAAACAATTCATAAATCCGAAAATTTCCGACAACCTGTTTGCTAGTGTTTTAAGCTGGCTGAAACAACCACGGCTAAGCCCAATATAAAGCTGTCGGCTGGCTAATATGGCTAAGGGTTCACCAATCACATTTTTTTATACTGTATTAACCAAAATTTCGAGTCGAATATATTGGTTCTAGGCTGGCATTAAGCAATAATACTAGCTAACTAACTATATTATAACAAAATAACATTTGGACAATTTGGCTTAGTATATAACCTACTGTTTATTGGTAAATTTCAAGTAATTTTAGGCAAAATTTGTCAATTTCGCCTATTCCAACCTGGAATTTTGGTCAGTTTGCTGGATTTTGGTTGTGTAACTTACTATTCTTTAGCCAGCCATTATTAGCCACTTAGTTGATGTTTTTGGTTGGCTGGCTTAGCTAGCCGACTAAAATCATGCAGCTTAAATCACTATCGCTATGCAATGCAATACTGCAATACGTAGACGTATTATATAGTATATATAGTATATATATGTATATATAAGTGGCATGCATATATTTTATTTTTTTTATTTTTAGGCCCTAATTTTTTGTCTAGTGTAACGCGACGCAGATCATATATTGATTTTAACTATATATATACCGATACGTATTTTTTTCTGTTGTATTAAATTTTGTTTTCGTAACCTGTTTTATAATTAAAATTTGCGTATCAGTTAATTCTGATATACCATACAGCGTTGCATATAGTACTGGGGTGTCTAATGCATATCTAAATCAATTTTTTTATAATTAGCGTAAATAGTAAAAATATATAAAATTTAAATTGCAATAACTTGAACATGTAAACCCACACAAATAAGATTATATATGCCGGGTTCATTTTAGTGTACTCTTTAAAGTAACAACGCCTTTTTTTAATTTATTAATATTGTTTGAAGGACCCAATTTCCATGCAAAATGATCGTTTTTGATTTTTTTTTTAAATAAAAATATCAAAATCGTAACTTTGAATCTTTTGTCGATCACTAACAATACGAGTGAACAAAAAATTTAAAGTTGCATTTTTGATGTTTTTATTAGATATATCAAAAACGACAACTTTACATGAAAATTAGTCCTTCGCTATGCTTCAAACAATATAAATAAATTAAAAAAGGCGTTGTTACTTTAAATAATACACTAAAATAAACCCGACAAATATAATTTTATTTGTGTGGGTTTATTTGTTCAAGAGTTATTGCAACTTCAGAACTTAAATTTTATGTTTTTACTATTTTTACACTACCACTATGTCACCGCTAAATATAAAAAAAAATTGATTAATGATTATTACTATGACCTGCACTAATATTTGTATATAATTAGATATGCATTAGACACCCTAATATAGTACCCAGGTATTTTACAAAAAAGCCGACCTAGATTGAATAATATCCCCCAAGAATTGGGAGATAGGAGAATAATACAAATAATCGTTATTGATCAATATACACTTTGCTATTAGACATATCAAATCCAATGAAAAGATCGCATATTAATTATAAAAATTGGTCACAAATTGCTTGTCAAAAAAGAGGATACTATTCAAGGGGAGTATTATATGCAGCACTATACAGTACTTCTTACACCATATGAAATTCTGCAAACTTTATCAATACTAATCCCTTTAATTTTTTTTTGGTTATAGGATCAGTAATTTTTTTGAACAATTTATAAATATTACCAGTTCTTTAAGTTTTTTTTATACAAATTTGCTTCTAAAACATTAAGTAAATTCTTAATCATAATATATACTTGATTTTTTGCAATTTTCTTAGAAATGCCAGTTTTAAATCGGATATTAGTTTTTAGAAAACTTCTACTTATTATATAAATATAGCCTCCTAGAGTCAGTTATTTGACACAATTATTTGACAATTACAAGTTTTAAAACAATTAATTATTTGATAATTACAAGTTCTAAAGTAATTAAATTTGTAATTGTTAAACTATTGTGTTAATCGACTGACTCTAGGAGAACTATATCTATCTAATATCTGAAGGTTTCTTTATTATTTTGCTTTTTATAATCTTAGTATTAGAAAACAATTAGGCCAACTCTCATCTATTTTTATTGTTATTTATTTCTATATTACTATTATATGTTTTAGCAGGGTTAGGCAAGTTATATATCTAGTATTTTTTTTACTAGATATTGAATTGTTCTATGTATTATCTAATATCCAATAAGGTATAGTTATAATTAAACAATGTCTAATAATATTGTATAAAACAATTTAAACAATTTTTTAATATCTGGTAATATGTTTAATGCTAATAACTAACAAATATATATACAGTTGATACTGTCTAATTGCATACTGTCTAATTGCATATACTCTCTAAATATATAAAAAAAAATTGACTTTTAATTATTAACACAAAGATAATTCTTATAACTTAAATGTATATATTGTCTATATATATAAAAAGTCTCTAACAGATAATATACAATTAGACCATATCAACTATATAACAGAAATTATAGCAAATCAGTATAATATTATATAATAGTCTGATTTTAAAACTATATTATACTGTTTAGTTATAATTTCTAACTCTAGTACTATTTTATAAAAACTTATATTTTTTGCTAAATATATTTAAAATATAATAATAATATAATAATAAATCCTGCTAAGTTAATAATATAGAAGTAAATCAGTAGAACTAGACCAAATTTATTAAATAAATTTATCTTATTTCTACTAACTTATCTTTATATCTAACTTGTTTATAGCTATTAATTATATATTTAAAAGTTAATAATTACTAAAATAATATTTTTATTATTAAAAATGAAATTATAAATATATATTATACAAATTTTAATTATATATATATATTAAAAAAATTTTTAAGCAATTTATAATTATATTTTAAATATATTATAAGCAAATTTATTATATTAAAATAAAATTATAGTATAAATAAATATTATAATTAGTTGCTAGTGATTCTTAAATATAATTATATTTAAGAATTACCAGCAACTTAAGTTAGGTTATATTGAGATACTATAGTCTAATAGAAATATTAGTCTAATAAAGATATTATCTCTTAAACTGTTTTCTAGACAAATTTGTTTAAAATTTTGAAAAATATTTATAATTTTTTAAATAAAATTAAAAATTATTAATAATATAGAATATATTTTATAGACTATTGCTAACTTGCTCCTCTGATTATATCACCAGAGAGCAGTATTGTATATGAAACATGTTTATACTATGTAAAATATCCAATATTCAAAATTGTCCAAACCTATATTTTAAGTTTAAATAATTAATAAAGTAATTTAAAAAAATATATAATTATATATTTTTTTAGATGCTGGATTCATTTATAAAAAAAATTAAAATAGATTATCTTAATAAAATTTTAAGTAATTTTAATTTAAAAAAAATATTCAAAATTGTTTAAAATTGTTCTATATATAATACTGCTAGAGATGCTATATCTCAAAAACATACTAAGTAAACTAGATTGAGTACTTTAATTGATGATCTGTAAGTTATCTGAAGAAAATAATCTATATATACTAAATAAAAATGACAGAAATTATATATGAAAAATCTTAATATAGAAATATAAAATTTTTTTTTATTATATACCTGATATATATATATGTATATGCATATATATATACGTACACATTCATATATTGCTATATATATATACTCTATATAAATTTTTTTTTTTTTTTTTTTTTTTTTTTTTTTTTTTTTTTAATATTAAGGTGACCACTTAGGCCCCCAGCACTTAGCTTTTATTCAGATAAATATGATATTACATCAATTTTCACAAGAATATAACTAGCCACACGTGTACTTTTGGTACCTAATTTAAGTAGTCCGCCTAGGTTCTACACTAGCCGTCATACCTGCAACCTAACTAGGAGATTATCTATTTAAGCTCTCTGATTATTAACTAATGAGAGTATGTCTAGCTATACATGCATCTTTTGGTTGTCTATTTAAGTAGTCTGCCCTAGGTTCCACACTAGCTGCCGTACCTGCACCCAACTATAAGGGATACCCATTTAAATCCTCTGGCTCCATTTCTGTAACACCACTTTACCCTAACACTCTTAAGAGATTAGCAATGCTACTCTATATAAAATTAAACTTTGCTTTTTATATAACTCTTAAGAGAATGAAAGTGTCTATCCAATACAAGTATCAACTTTATTAAAAGCTACGTATTGTTTACAAAAAACTTAAACAAATTACAAATTCTAAAAAAATTGCATCCAAGATCTTTAGATAACTTTTATAATAAGATAATTGAGCTTTAAAGTAATTTATAAATTCTAAATCATTCCAAGGTTATAAAAATATTATACTAATAAGACTTTTATCTAAGTATTATCTTGTTTTATTGAGTCAAATAGCTATTTTAATAAAAATTTATTTCTGCTTCAACCAATCATTTAAGAATTAAACCAATCCTTTATTACCCAAAAATATCAAATATTTCAATGGTAATAGTGCTTTATTTATAGCTTATAATAGCTTTTTATATTTTTTCTTAATCATCTAATATAAATACTAGCAAGAGAAAAGAGTGCTTCAGTTTGTAAATATATTATCAATTATTTATCTAATTTAGTCTTTCTGATCAATAACATATCAGGCTTCAAATTATATGTTGTACTAGATGAAGCTGCTAAAAAACTTCATAGATTTGTTATATATTTATATGCATTAATTAGAAAGATTCAATCAGATAAATAATTATAAGTTATCGTATAGTGGGTAAAAAAATATTGCATAGTGGTACGGGTATAAATATTTGATCCGATCACTTATTTATACCTGTACCACCGTGCAATATTTTTTTGTCCACTATACGATAACATTATTATCATCCGGTAGTTGTTACTGCTATAGTCATTTGATCATATAAAAAAAAAATCGTCACAAATTTAAAAGTCAAGTGATTTACTGATAATATACTATAAATAAGAATTTCTTTCATGGTTTCGTCATCTCTTTTTCCACTTTCATAAACAGTATACTTCTTAAAATAAAAAATAGAAAATTTTTTTTAAGAAAAAAACACTATGCCTAAAGACAAACAAAAGGTTCACTTGTTGTCTATTTATTTACTATTTTATTTATTTACTGTTAATTGTATCTACAAATATTACTATATTTATGTATGTATTGAACTTTTTTTAGAAACGATTTACATATGTAGAGCCTACGCCGGAAGAAGTCACATCACTACAAAAGAAGTCTGTTGTAGAAAATACACATCGGTCTACTTTGAATTGGACAAGTCAGTTTGAAAAATATCGCAAAGATACTAACCTTCCTGGTGAACTATTTGATATTTCAAATCCAAAGCAACTTGAAGAAGAGCTTTGTAAATACTTTACCATGTGTCATAAAGCCAATGGTGATGACTATTCTGTCACATCCCTCCAATCTGCAATCAATGCATTTAATCGATACTTTAATGGTGAAACAAGTAAATTAAAACCAATTGACTTAAATAATAAAAAAGCACACCCTGATCTTTGGCGTACATTGAATAGAAAAATTAAAACATTGTCTGCAAGTAGATATGGAGAATCAAACGGATCTGATGCTTTAACGATCAATGAAGTTCAACAAATTCTGTCACATTCTCAAACGTCAAAGTTTAATCCTAATGGATTATTAAATAGAGTTTTTTTTTTTAATGCACTTTGTCTTGGTTTACATGGTGGAGAACATTTTTTATTAGAACTTGTCTCTTTTAATAAAAAAAAAGACTCTGGCGGTTATGAAGTTAAACTTTTTCGATCTAAAACCAATCAAAGAAGTCTTGAAAGCCCTGGTGTAGCGGAGACATTCTCTATTCCACCAATTTTCAATATTGTTGAATCGTATGATACATATATAGCCAAACGTCCAATTGATGCTGATCTTCAATTTTATCTTCACTCTATAAAAAAAAATCATGGCAAGTAAATACTATAATGAATTATATTAGTATTTAATATAACTATTAAAATATTAATTTTTATTGTTATATTTTAAAGAGAATTTTAAATCTATTGATGTTTGGTATGAAAAAGCACATCTTGGAGAAAATTCGATGAAGGCATTCTTTAAACGATTAGTAATGTCATGTGATATTGACATTTCTGGTCGTAAGATTACTAATCAAACTGGGCACAAAACCTTAATTCAAACTTTAAAAGCACTTGGATTATCTAATTATGAAACAATGTCAATTTCGCGTCATAAATCGCAAAAAGAATTGGCATCTTATGAATGTCCAATTAAACATGTACAAGAACTTGGATATCAAGCTTTAGATAAGGCGATTAATTATGAAACAAATAGTTGTAAATTTTATTTTTTTTTTAATATTCATGACTTTTTATTTATTTTATTTATTTATTTTTTTTGAATCATCTACAGCTACTGCTCCAAATACACATAAATTATCAGGCTTCGTATCGGCATCATCGTTGTATCAAGGTTAAAAATTTTATAGAATAAGTTTTTTGTTATAATTTTTTGTATTAATAAAATAATTTTTATTAATTTTCTTTACTTGTTTAGAATCATCTACTTTTAATGAATCAACTTAAAGAAAACAATTACATAATGAATCGGTGCAAATTAATTTATTACAAGATGAATCTATTCAAGGACTTAATAAACTCATTCGTGGTGTCATATTTATTAATTCCTCAGTCACAATTCATTTTTACAAATATTAACATGCTTGAATTTTATTTGTAAATTGCATGTAACTCTTAAATTCTTTTAATTAGAATTTTAAAAACAAATATCTACTTAGCTCTATTAATTGTGAATTTTAACTGGCCCCGACAATTAAGAATTGTAAAAGTAAAAATCTACTTAGCTTTAGTGATTGAGAGTTTTAAAAGCGAAGACCTATTTAAGCTACTAACTCCAATGATTAAGAATTTTAAAAGCGAAAATTTACTTAAATACTGGTACTGGTAATTGAGAATTTTAAAAGCGATGACCTTATTAAGTTACTGATTCCAGTGATTGAGAATTTAAAAGTGATAACCCAACGATTAAGAATTTTAAAAGCGATGACCCAATGATTAAGAATTTTAAAAGCGATGACTCAAGAATTGAGAATTTTAAAAGTGATGACCCAACGATTGAGAATTTTAAAAGCAATGATCCAACAATTGAGAATTTTAAAAGCGATGACCTAACGATTGAGAATTTTAAAAGCGATGATCCAACAATTGAGAATTTTAAAAGCGATAACCCAATGATTAAGAATTTTAAAAGCGATGACCCAACGATTGAGAATTTTAAAAGCGATAACCCAATGATTGAGAATTTTAAAAGCAGAGAACTACTTGAATTACTAGTCCCGGTGATTGAGGATTTTAAAAATGATAACCTACTTAAATTACTGGCCCTAGTGAATGAGAATTTTAAAAGCGATGACCTACTTAAATTACTAACTTTATAAATTAAGAATTTTAAAAGTGAATGTCTAATTAAGTGACTGGCCCAATTGATTAAGAAGTTTAGAAAATAAAATCATAATTATGTTATTGTTCTATTTAAT